GGTCGGCTTCCGTACCGTTACAGATAAGTTCAAATACGAATCCATCAAAGAAGTTAGCTCTTTGTGTAAGCTGCGAGACTATCTTTTCACAGTAGATCTGAAGTCTGGCTATCACCACGTGGATATCCACCCCGAGTTTTGGCAGTTCCTTGGATTTGAATGGGAAGGGAAATACTACGTTTTCTGCCAGCTTCCTTTTGGCTTAGCAACAGCTTGCTTCGTCTTTACAAAGCTTATCAAGCAGCTTGTCCAGCGTTGGCGCAGCTTAGGATTTCGCTGCATTCCCTATATCGATGACTTCTTCTTCATCACCAGCTCAGCAGTAGAGTTCGCTCAGGTGCAGCGTCAGGTGCTAGACGATTTCGCTCGAGCAGGTTTTGTCCTTTCTGGAGAGAAGTGCCAACTCCAGCTTAGCCACGTGGTTAAGTTTTTAGAGTTTGTGGTGGATACCATGATGGGTGTTTTCCGCCTGACAGCAGTTCAGAAAGCGAAGCTCCAATCAGCCATCTCCTCTGCAACTGCATCTCCTGCGCGTTCCCGCTAAGCTGCTTGCTCGGATTACTGGTCTTCTTGCTTCGATGAAGCTTGTCACAGGTTCTGTCTCGGGGTTGTTTACGAGGTACCTGCATCGGGCTCTGAATACCCGTTCCCCTTGGCGCTCTTCTGTCTCTTTGGACGCCTCCGCTCTTTCCGAGCTGTCATTCTGGACATCCTTTTTGGAGCAGTTCTCTGCTCGCCCCATCTGGCAGCAGTTCTCCCTCGTTCTAGTTCTCCAGTACGACGCGGGCGCGCACGGCTGGGGTGGCCACGTCATCATCGACGGCCACCGGCATTTCGCACACGGCTTCTGGGCTCCTGATGAAGTCCATGGTCGCCGCTCTTCGACTTGGCGTGAACTCCAGGGTCTTCACCGCCTCTTACTCTCTGTTGGTCATCTCCTCTCTGGCCATCGGGTGATCGCTCGGGGGGACGCTCAGAATGTTTTCTGGATTCTAGATAAGGGGGGCTCGCGTCTCGAGCATCTTCAGGAGATTTGCCTTGACATTTTCTGGCTCTGTTATAAGCAGCAGATTGACCTTACTCCTGACTGGGTGCCTCGCACTCAGAACGAGCTCGCGGATTACTTATCCAAGCTTGTTGATTACGATGACTTTGGCTTACAGCCTGCCGCTTTCTCGCGCTTAGTTCAGCAGCTTGGTGCGGTAGATATCGACTGCTTCGCCAGCGAGCATAACGCTCTCCTTCCAGCTTTCTTCTCAGAGCTCTGGACTCCCCGCGCGCGCGCAGCTAATGCTTTTGCTCAGTCTTGGTCTGGCTCGCGCTGCTACTGCTTCCCGCCGCCCAAGCTTATTCCCCGCGTCCTTCAGCACGCTCTCGAATGTCGCTCCGACATTGTTCTGGTGGTTCTGGATTGGCCTAGTCAGTTTTGGTGGCCCCTGCTTCGTTCCGGTTCCGCCTGGGCTCCGTTCGTTTGTCGTTCCGTCCGGTTGCCGATGTGAAGCGGCGCTGAACAGGATCGACTCGGGGTGAGAGAGATAC